CTAAAAGTCGTACCACATCGAGATGATCATGTGAAACCGCTCGACAAATGGGTGGGTCTATTGCATTCCTTCCATTAATCTCTACGCCCTCCATACTCAGTAGAAAAGCTCCGTGATATGCGGCCAGGGAGATTGGAGTGTGGCCTCCAACACAGAGATTCAGACTGATCCCTGGCACCGCAAGCAGCCGTCGTAGGAGCACAGTATCCAACCTCGCCGCGGCATGGTGGAGAGATGTAGACGGCATCTCGAATTTCCCGCGGCCTCCAACAAAATTGACGTTGATGTCTTTTTCGGCCAACAGCCTTTCGGCTATCCCGTCGCATGACGAGTAAGTAGACAGCCAAAGTGGCGTATTGCCATGTTTGTCTTTGCAGTTTACGTTGGCACGGGGGTGACTTAGGAGCAAATTGACCATTTCCAGGCGCTTGTTTCGAATGGCGAGGTGGAGCGGCGTATAACCATTCCGGTTCTGGATATCCAAACTCAGGCCCTTTTGTCCGAGAAGCCGTTTGACAACGCTACTGACCCATAGGCCACTGCTTGGTGAAGAGGTAGCTCAGCCTCTTGTGATGATTTGGTACCAAGAAACACCTTGGCCATCGGATCGTTTGAAAAAATCATTTCCATCACGGGTCTATTGAAGCGACATGCCCAGCCCCATGGCGAGTGGCCCGAATCGTCCTGTAGATCAGGGTCGCTGCCATTAGAAAGTAGCAGATGAACGAACCCTATTCGGCCTGCGAAGACTGCTAGGTGGAGCGCCGTTCGGCTGTGTTTGTGCTTGATGTCCACCTGGACGTTGGGTTGATTTAAGACACTTTTGACGGCGGAAAGATTTCCGTAGTGGATGGCATACCACAGGGCGCTCTCCCGCGCTTGGTTTTGAATGTTGATGTCTAGGTCTCCACGACTGAGCAAGAGGTCCCGCACAGCAGCGGAAGAGTATTTGAGCGCCCTCATTAAAGGAGTTTTGCCTCGGTAAAATGCATTGACGTTGGCGTTGTGCTGGAGCAAAGCCTCCGCAAGACCAATGTTGTCGTATTTGACGGCCAAGTGCAACAGATTGCTGTTCTGAAATTTGATGTTGTATTTCCAGATGCTGGGCTGCAGTTTAAAATCAAAATCTTTACATGATTTTGCGAAGGCAAATAATGCACTACCGTCCAAATACGACACAATCTACAGCAAAAGCTCGTTGGGCAGGTCTCTGATGTTTGGCTGTAATGTATTAGCTCATCGGTAAACTCCGTAAGAACGAATTGAACAGACCATGATGGGACAGCGGATTGAGCTAACGAAATGTAGATGGGGGTGAGGTGAGAGTTGTGAAAGTAGGATATGGGAGGCCTTTATATACTCACCTCAGCCAAATTCCACGGTCAGCTATGAGTGTAGTCTGTCACTCCGCTGAGAGGTGCGTAGCAATCACACGGCAGCATCATAGCCTTGACAACAATGTTCAGGCGGAGTTGGAGAATCTGTGGGGGCTAGCTCCTGGGAACGCCAAAACTGTTCCTGGTAGTGTGTCGATGGCCTGGGAACCGAATCTATCTCTACGTACCCACATCTTGCATCTAGCGCCATAAGAACAAATCACAACCTATCACGCACTTAGAAATTCATAAGCAACCCAGAACCTAACGTAGCATTTGTCGACTTTGCTGCTCACCGCAGTAGCCAATCTGTTCGCCAATGTATGGTCCCCGCGATGGATAGTCAAATCTGCAGCTGATTGCAGCAGTGGTCTGGAATGATATCCCTTCATGCAGGCCACTGATCGGCTGTATACGGCGCATACTGCGTGTGAATGCATTCTTCCACGTACCGACTGTTTCAAGGAAGTGTTCCATGCCAGCCACGCAGCCATGTAGGTAAGGAGCCCACGCGATGGCATATAAAGCTGGCGGGGGAACGTCGCAGTGATTGCGCAACACCACCACAATCCGAAGATTTTCTGCCTTTGACGACCACCTCAATGACTACCATGCTGCCTTGGAATCCGTTTCTTGTTTGTGAGATAGAGGTCAGCCCCAATGGCGGTCCTGGCTCTTGTTGCGGGACGACGAAAAAAGGCGAGCCGTGCAAAAACTCGATCAAAGTTGAAGACACCAAGATCGGCCATCAAAAGTTGACCTCTCTCGCCAGAGAGCCATTTGACCTGTCATCGTTGCAGTCGAAGCTCTGTGATGTCGCCAGAGACTTCCTCTGCGCGAGATGGCACCGGCAACGGCAGGCCGACCAAGTTGGCCAGCAGTGGTATGAAGCCGCCGTCCGCAACCAGGCGCGAGTACCACATGGCTCCAGAATGGCTTCTCCATCAGTTGTTGTACATTCAGGCCAGCGTCAGACATCGTCAGCCTCCAGGCGACGCCCTGCATCAGACAACACTGGCCCGTCACCTCCTCACAGGCTCAGACAAAACCCGCCGGTGCGGCTTTCAACCAACCCCGAGCCAGTGCAGCCATTCAATCCATTTGTGACTTCTGCAATGCTGCGGACGAACAGTATTCCATGGCGCGTTTCGCCGACCCGACCAGCCATCCTCTCATCGGCAACTAATATCCGGGCTGGTTTCCAAGAATTGACGCTCCAGAGTCTCACCTCGAGTGAAGAGGTCGACAGCGTCCACGTCGACAGCATCTACTGTGTGTTCTGCCAGACTGAGGATGAAGACCATGCGGACGAGAGCGTGATCTTGCACTGCGGTCAGTGCACATCGCTCTGTCATCTGTCATGCGCCGAAGAATGGTTGGAAAAGCGAGATACAGGGTTTGGCACGTCATGCTGTGTGTGGTAAGTGTGGATGACCTTATTTCTGAGACGACCAAGATACTGATGACCGCAGCCGAAACGAAGGAGCCCTAGATGCCATCATTCGCCCCTTACGAATCCCCTCGTCGGATGCCGAGACATATGCCGTCCACACGGCAAGCGATCCATCTCCCACTGGTGGGCCCCGTCGCTCAACCAGACTAGCAGGAACTCATCTACCGCGACAACCTTCCACCGCTGCACCGCTTCGCCGATCGGCACGGCTCAATTCCACTCAGCGTAGGTGATCACAGGTTACAGCCGAGTTTGACGGAAAATGCGAGAAGCGAGTGAATCACACGCGAGTGCACGTGACCGACACTCGGCATCGTGATCAGCAACTGTGGTTGTAGCATTGATAAAGATTTTTGGAGCAAGCTTAGCAAGAAATGAGATCCTGATTGTAAAAATCCAGAGTACAAGGCGACAGTTCATTTTTGCAAGTGCTGGGCACCACTTGACCTTAGCCAAAAGATACTGGCTGCTTCACTTAATTTGACAATGACATAGCGCTAAATGTGCTAGTAGATTCAGTTTCTTCTTTCATCATACCTAACGGCGTGACCAGAGAACACACCGATTCATCTCAGGGGAGCCGTGTCACAAAAGGCGGAGATTATTGGCAGAAAATCGCAACTAGCGTGCTGGCGTGAGACTGACAAACTCGTGTGCTTGTTAACTTGCTCTGGGAATCAGTATGTGAACCCTGGGAATTTCAGAAGCATTTCTCGGAGCCATTTTTACCCTAGGAAATGCTGTTTAGCTCCTGGAGTTATTTCTAATCTCTAGGAAAGCGAGGTCTACCCCCGGCATCTTCACTTTACATTCCTGACTGAATATGAAACTCGCTCTGGGAATACATTGGCTTGACCTGGGAGCTGTGGAGCCCCTGGGAGCTTACTTTAGGGCCCTAGAGTCACTATGTTGCCTTCCGAGATCGCCGACAGCCCTCACAAAAAACCTTCACCGGACCTGCGCACAATTCTGCGTCATTCGGTCACTCCTAGAGGGCCAAATTATAGCCCCAGGAATCCAAAAAATCGCCAACAGGAACGCGGCTTTGATTCCCCGAGGTGGGGATACCAGACCCCAGAAGCTACATCGGGTTTCCTGGGGCTACGTGGCTCCTAGAAGCTGCTTCTTTACTTCCAGAAATGTTTCAAGAGCCCCTGGGAATAAGATGACTCCTAGGGCTAAGAGATGAATTCCTAGTACCGATGCAACGGTCAACTGGAGCGTGACCGATTATTGATAATGACGATGAGATGTCCATGTTCGTAGTTGGGTACAGTTATGGATATCTATTTGCTGTTTACTGTATACAGACAGAGACGGAAAATGTGCGTAAGCAAAGAAAATCTCCCCTTTCCCAGACTTCAGCCGTGAAGGACATCAAGCCCAAGGAAATTGATATCAAACGCATCAAGCCTAGTTAGTGGATTTAGTTTCCCTGATTTCTGGAGGCAGTAATGAGACGGCGTCTGAGATAAAAGCCCTGCTATCTGTAGAGAATTACCGAGCATGACGAAGGAGAATTACTGACTCTAGATACGTTCAAGCTAAAAAGGAACCATGCCACTACTAGTTCATATTAGTTAGTAGTATATCGAGTTACCGCAGTATCTGCGACCTCAGGAGCTTTGCAGGCTCAACTGGGCTAGACGCAATCACGCCGTTCTGAAACTCCCTGTCCATAAAATTTAGCACAAATTGGGTGCTTCCAACGTCACTTTCTGACTCCTAAGTCTGGCACGGATTATGTACATGGAGCGGCAAATCCACAAAATGATAATTCAACAAGGAAGAAAAATCCGGCCCTGACTCTTAAGCGCATCTAGTTGGAATTCCGAGGTATTCTTTTCTGTGTATCTTGGCTAGCTTTTAGAACCTCGCACTTCCTAGGTGCTATCAATGCAGGACCAATAACGGTGACTAAACGAATGAATGGTCTCAATACGCCTCAATTAGGACAGGCACCCGTGCCTGCCTATTCGAAGCTCCCCATTTTCTGCTCTAGAGGCCTGGGCTCAAGTATGGATTCCCACTCAAGTGGTCAGTAGATTGAGCAACTGCCGCAAATCGATGGGCAAGTAGGGTAGGCGTAAAGTGTCGGGTCCGGTCATACCTCATCCAGCGAGAAAGCTAAATGCCAAGATATGGTCGCAAACAATGTACTATACAAATCTCTAGGTAAGACAAACAGTTGCAATCCGCACTCCAAGCCACAGGCACCTATGCCTTCTCGGAAGCATCGTCCACGGCTCCTCAATCAATGGTCTGTCAATGTCTACACCCATCTGATCGAAGAATTTCGCAGGGTAATACAGCCGGCTCCAGATGTGTCCTCTAATCAGCAAGTCTTCCGGCAATTTCTTGGTGGGTGTGCCATCTATGTGGGGAAATGATTCGGCTTCAATTTTTGTAATATCGATGTTGGGTTGAAGCAAAGTATTCAGATAATTTGCGAGTATCAACCATGGAACTAGCGGCTCGAGTCGTTGAATGGCTGCTGGATGGAGCGAGAGGCACCACAGGAATTTCAAAGAGGCATGCACGGCCGGGTGCATAGTTGACTCGCTGGCTTGGCCAAGGATGACGATCAGGGTGTGGAAAGCGAGAGAGCTTGCAAGGAATGCAAATTGAGATGAGAAGTCGGTGTAGGGATATCTGTTTAAGTCGATAGGTGCTGTTGTAGATGCCCACTGCTTGGCATTGACATAGGCGTCTGCAGTGGAAGTACTTGGGTCGCCAGCAAAATCCGTAGCAAAAGCTCCATTTTCATCCCCATACTGGAAAATCGCAGCGATATTGCAGCACGTGATGAAAATGCCTTGCTGTGCCCCTCGGCCTAACCGGCTAGCCCCCTGGCGAAGATTCACAAGGAAGAAGTTTGACCGAGCATCAAACTGCTCACTCAGCATGCGCATGAAAAGAACACTATGGGCAGCCAAAAACGAAGTGATCAGTGTGTTCACCAGCCGGTTCACTTAGGATATGGTCCTCCACGAATGGGGCCGGGCTTTAAAAGCTCAATGGGCTGCATCTCTTGTATCATTTCAGCAACCTGCGCAGCGATTTTCCTTTGGGTGTCACGGGTAGACCTCCGCACCGGCCCACAAAGCCCATAGCCCAACCCACCCCAGCCCATAAATGGGGCGGGTTTTGGGCCTGGCATTAGGCCCACTGGTAGGCTATGGGCCTAAGGTAGAAGCCCAATATGGTTTAATGGGCCCCCAAATGGGCCCCAAACATTGCAAACATGCCAATTCTTGGCATTTGCATAAGTTATGTAGACCTTCCTAGTAATTTTGAGTATTACAATTACCACCTGAGGCCCCTAATTGACTGAGATCTCATGGAAATCGACGCAATTCACTGATTTATGAGATTGATGAGATTAACTGATGAGATCAACTGATGAGATCGATTGATTAGATCCCAAGAGGTAAAACTATCTACATGCTAATAATGCTCATACAAATCATCCTCAACATGCCTCCTCTTCCTCCCTGATGTCCGCACTTGAGACGGTGCCGCATGAGACGGTGCCGCATGAGACGGTGCCGCAGCGATAGTAGCATCGTCATCGTCATCGTCAACATCTATCAGATCACCGGATCTATCACCCTGCTCTTCAGCATCACTGATCGCATCAACGTCGACGACAGCTAGCACCTCAGCTGGCTCCTCGGCATCATCACCTGGCTTTTGAGCCGCCTGAGCCTCCTCCACCAGGATCTGAATCTCATCAGAGCCAAAGAACTGCTCAAATTCCTTCGCCTCTTGCACTTCAAGATCAAACCTTGACGTACAGAGGCACAACATCAGCTCTTCGATAGTTTGCGCCTTCAAAGAGCCCCGGCGATAGTGGCAGATATCGCGTGCAGTGTTAAACAGACGTTCAACTCCAGCACCTGTGGCTGGAATTGCAAGGTAATCTCTTGCAAGTGCGGCAATAGCAGGGAAGCGATATTGATTCTCTCTCCAAAAGGAGAGCGGCTCATCAGATATAGTTAAACCTGTAAGAAATTAGTATCATGAAGATAGGGATGGTTTTTCGGCCGAAAAACCATCTCTCAAGAAAGAATAAACATAGAGATTAACTTACTGCCGTCGAGATACTGCGTCATCTCATCATCTTTAGTCGGGCCTAGCGTTGCTTTACCAGCTTTGCCTTTGCGTTTGGAGAGAGACTTCGGGGGAGCCATCAGGCCAAGAAGGAAGGATCTTGGCATCGATCCAGAGGAAGACACTTGCGGGCTATTTAAAGTAGTAAGACGCTCCTGGATAGGAGTAAGTGCCTCACGGAAAGCCACTCGATACTGCTCACGGATCTCTTTGGCATCCTCCCAGTTATCAGATAAAAAGAACTGGAATCTACTATCCGGCGATAGCATCGTACAAACCGCATAGATATGCCCGCGCATATGATCCGTCTTCTTATAGTACTCCGACAGTTTTGAATGGCTTGCTCCGAGGGAGGTAAGCATCTGCTGTTTCCATGGAACACGTTTTCGTTGTAGCTGCGACTTGCACTTCTCAAGGTGTTCAAAGAGCTGGTTATAGATCCTGAAGACAAGAAACGACGTCGCCTCTCGTGTCTTCGAAAGGGCGAGCGTAAAGTCAAAGAATGGCTTTGTGAGATAGATCAGATAGTCAATTTGGCGCCATTGTTCATCATCAAGTTCGAATTCTGTACAGTTGAACTGACGACAGTATTCATTGATAGCAGTACGGAGTCTCTTCGCCCGGCGTAGCATCAGAAACGTTGAATTCCATCGAGTTTTGACGTCCTGGATCGGCATAAGTCCTTGCCCTGGAACTTTGCCTTGGCCTTTGTCGAGGTCGTGTTGGACTTTGAGGAAGTGATCTCGACGCTGAGGGCTCCCGCGGATATAAACAGCAAGAGATCGTATCCTCTTTAAGGTATGCGCAATGTCCCGTTTCTTAGACCTGGCCTCCGCATTCGCCTTAGCAAGGCTAATCTGTTGTTCCTCTGTCCAGACAGTCTCGGCTTGTTCATTCTTTGGGCGTGCTTTAAGTCGGTGAAGTAGTTGGTTCAGACTTAATTGGATGACATGAGCGAGACAGGGGACCCGGATGACGTTAAAACCAGTAGCCGAAGCCGAAGGCTCTTGTTGTAAAGACTGTTGTAGTGCCTTAACCAGAGTCTCATTATTCGATGCGTTATCGGTGGTTATTCCAAAGACTCGGTCCTTAATGCCATGTTCGGTAAGCGTCTCCATCAGAATAGCACTTAGGTTTGCACCTGTATGCGAACTGTGAAGGGGTTTAAAGCCGAGTAGCACCTCACGGTAGACCCATTCGGCATCGATGAAATAGCCAGTAATAGCCATAAATGCCTGCTGAAATGGAGATGTCCAACAGTCTAACGCAATCGAGATCTTTGCATGTTCTGGAAGCATTCTGAGTGTATCATGCTGTCGTTCTTTAACACGGCCAGACAGGCGACGTCGAATTGTATCAGCGGAGGGCACGATCGGAGGGCTTAGGGCGGATTGTGCCTAGATTCAAGACTTAAGATTTAGTTAGGTGACGAGGCAAATAGAGGCTGATTGGTAAAGACGGCGGATTTGGAGGATTTGGGCGATTTGACGCCTACGGACTGGCGTCTGACGGACTTACCTCTGCGATGAGCTCACGAAATGCTGGATTTTCAACGATTTGGAATGGAAGCCGGTTAGTAGTAATAAACTCCAAGATTTTACTCTCAAAACCTTCTTGCGAGAATGTCTGGCTATGACTACCCTGATCATGATGCTAGTTAGTAGGGTCTAGTAGAGCTAGGTATGATAGTATACCGTTTGAAGGAACCTCGTCAATTCAGCCCTCTGCCGGCGTCCACTTGTAGCCTTTTGGCAGGCTGGGGTCTGAAGATGACGGGTAATTGTTGTCGTGCCATGACGACCAACCCTCCCATTGGCATCCTTCTTAGTAGTATAAGGGTGCTCAAGAATTGCATCGCAACGCTTACACAAGACCTTTGGGTTTCCAGTCGCCGTATGGGCCACTTGCTCAAACTGTTTCCAGGTCTCCGAAGCGGAGCCATGCTGTGACTCCCAAGCGATCTTGTTTTTAGATCCATAGTCAGTCTCCAACCACCAGTTGACCCAATCAGTGTGATTCATCGCGTCGTAAAGGAAAAACTGGCCTCCTCTCCTACCAGGACCGACACGTTGGAAGCGTTCAAGGGGATCTAGGGCGATAGACGAAGGAACAGACGGCTCAACGAACGAGAAGCTATCAACCTGCCGAGAGGTGGACGGAGTAGCTGGGCAAAGAGAAGGCGTAGCAATTGACGAATTGTCGGGCTCAGTGTCGAACAGGCCCAACTGGGAGGATCTAAACTCCTGGCTTTGCGACATGATCAGGATGACAACTTGATAGTAGGTTCAAAATTGGATGAAGGGCTTCAGGGGAATAGCTTCAGGAGGAAGAAATCGACATACCTTCTTAGTGAGAGAACTGTCGACGTATCGACGCCGTAGCAAACAGATATTGTAAACAGAGATCACCGTAGCAGTCGACATTAAAACGGAATATCTTGATTCTAGCATCTGATTGGCTAGATCATGCATATGCAGTGAATTCAGCCCATCCAAAGCCCAAGAAAAGTCCATGGATAACCCATCTCCCCGCCCATTTTACAATTTGTTCGCCCAAAACATTTCACCCCATGGCTCATGAGATATCTTCAAACCTCTCTCATCTCTGTAATCCCCAGAATATTACGTTTCTGTGAAGACAGACGTTAAGTCTGAGAGATTGGCTATCTTTTGGTATAAATTTCAACTCTATAAACCTATAATTCATAGATTTGACCCTTGAATCTACAGTTCAACAGAAACATGCACCTACTTCTAATTATATGAGATATATATCTCTACATGTTGACACTTTGGAACTCTCTAAGTACCAGAATACTACGAAAACTTGGTGAAATTGGATTGTTTTTTGGATGACGCCGGTAAACTATAGTGCCTACTGTAGCTGGCTTCATCTACGACCTTAATTACTATGTCGTCGCCGTTGGATCTTGAGATCTTGATTCTTGGGGGAGTTGAACCCCCGGATTGGGAGTTGAAATACTAGATCAGGCCTGGTAAAACGTCGGGCCGATGTATGCCTTGTAAAGGCTTACAGACTGGAACATGCGTAAAAAACAGGCATTAATCAGCGGTTTTATGAGCGCCAAGATCGTAGTTATGCATAGAAATGGGCTATATTGGGGGCCTCATGGGCCCCCACTCATGGGCTATGGGTTGGGGCGGGCTATAGAGGTTAGGCCCACAGCCCACTGCTGGTTGGGCTATGGGCCTAAAGGTCGGGCCCATTTATGGGCTTTGCGGAGGTCTAGTCACGGGATAGGGTGTTCCAGCACTCATCCAGCGGTTGGCCTGGGATAAAATCCATGACAATATACCCAGATGTGCCAAAATATTGTGTATGTGTATCATCTTTTACCTGGAATGAGCGATAGACTCGTGGGGCTCGAATAATGGTTCTGGAAGCGATAAGACGAAGCATTTGCGCTTCACTAGCCATGACACTGCCGCCACCCTTCATGATCAAAGTCTCTGAAAGCCGCACAACCGTCGTTCCACCTAGCTGATGGAGAATAGAAGCAGTTGTGAGAAAGATCACCAGAGCCTCATCTGTGACAGAATTAAGATCCTTTCCATCCAGTGGAAAAGATCCATCAGGCTCACGACTTTGTGGCTTGACGTGGGATGTCAGTATATGGTATTCTGCAGATTATGAATAAAGATACATTGGCTATTGGGCGCATGAATAGTTCCATTTCAGTAAGGTAGATGACGATGGGGTGATAGTAAATGTCGGATTATTGCAAACATAGAAACCCTTCAAGCTGGACTGGGTTATAAAAGAAACCTCGGAGAGAGGT